CATCCATATACATTAAAAAAAAAAAAAAAAAGTGGGATTTCCTTGATCTAGTTCTTGGAAAGCCTCTTTAATTTACAAGAGAATTCTGTTGACAAGATGGGAGCTACTGAAATCTCTGCTTTATTAAAAAATACTTAAAAATTTTGTCACATTTATTGATTGTATGCATGTGTGTTTGTGACTGCACACATGTGCGTGCTCATGCACCGACACCCTACCCACACATGTACACACCACAGTCCTCATTTGGAGGTCAGAGGACAACATGTGGGAGTCTGTTCTCTCTTTCCACCACAGGGATCCTGGATGGAACTCAACGTCAGGCTTGGCAGCAAGTGCCTGTATCTGCTGAGTCATCTCACTGAACCTATTGGAGATAATTAAGGAATCTTTATGGTAATATTTTCTGCAAAGCCAGGACAAATTAACAATAACAAATCACATTTATCTCTGACAATATATTGTGTGTTTTGTTTTCAAGGCTGGGAGTGAACCCAGGGTCCTGTCTATTGCTGAGCTAAATCCCAATCCTGCTAATATTTTAAATCAGGCCATCAGTTTTCTATGGCAATTTGACAGCTACACTTACTCAGTGAATTCGAGGAGGCAGTTATAAAGTAACGATTAAATGGAAAAAAATTCTATTTAATTTCTCTAGGTTCTTTTAGATTTTATAATCAAGAAGGGTGGTGGTGGTACACGCCTTTAATCCCAGCACTCAGGAGGTAGAGGAGGTGGGTTTCTGAGTTTGAGGCCAGCCTGGTCTACAAAAAGAGAGTGCTACTCAGAAATCCTGTCTTAAAAACAAACAAACAATAACAATAGATTTTTATAATCATTTGAATGTTGGTTAACCCTGACAGTCTTCTAAGTAGCAAAGAAGTCAGTGCTGTCCACTAATTTTATTTTGAATACATGCTAGAGAGGTGCACTCCCAATGAGCTATACTACAGCTCTACAGGATGCATCTGGTAAGAGGTCTTAATTAAATACCTATATTCATAACTAAGAAAAACGAAGACCACAAAATATCATGTCATTCCTTTTATGTTTATTAACATAATATGTTTATGTTGATGTTTAAGAAGTTTTTTTTAATTAAAAAGTCCATGTCTGGTATTTATAACTTCTTTTACTTTTATTAAATGTAATACAATTTTCCTCTTTTAAAAATCATTTAAGCTGGGGGCATGGTGGCACACTCGAAATCCCAGCACTTGGCTGGCAGAGGTGGGAAAACCACAAGTTCAAAGCCAGCCTGGGATATACACCTAAGACTTGCAAATCAGCCTGAGGTATTTTGTGAAGGGGGTGGAAAGAGCTCAATGACAGAACACTTTTCTAGCATTGGGGGTCCTGGAGTCTAAGCTCTCACACTTCAACAACAGAACCAAACAAAAACTATGAATGCGTCTCATAATATCTGTCAACTTAAGTTCAGGTTGCCTTAGCTGGGTAAACTGATCAAGTAAACAGAATTTATGGGAAGAGAATGCAAGTGAGCTCACAGCAATCACTACAAAATGGCCAAGGTAGATGCAAATTAGAGTCCAGTGGAATATGAGACTCCTCGTCTAAACTCTACATTCCCTTCAACTGCAAACAAAAACACTGTGTCTGAAGTTACACAGTTCATTGAAAAGGGAGGCAATACTAGATATCAGCTTTCCTGACTCAAAATACAAGGATATTTTTAAAATAATACAATGCATTCTTACCAGATATTAAATAAAACCTGGCCAAAACAAAAGCACTGAGTTCTAAACTTTTAAAAAGCCAGTTAGCATAAAACAAGGAAATAGCTACAAGCTTGCAAATATGAGCAGGCTTGCTTAATTTTTCTGCTTCAGAAAATTTAACAAGCTTAAAAAAATCTTAAAAATGCTAATGCAATAGTTAGTGGTAATGAGCAGAACAACAGAACACTGAATATTTGTTTATTTATTTATTTATTTATTTATTTATTTTTAAACGAGGTCTCTCTATATAGCACTGGCTGTCCTGGAACTTACTATGTAGACCAGGTTGGTCTGAACCTCAGAGATCCTTCTGCCTCTACTTCCCAAGTGCTGAGATTAAAGGTATATGCCACCAGACCTGGCAAATTTTCAACTTTTGAATTATTAAAAAGTAAAAAAAACTTGTTTTTTTTTTTTTGAGACAGGGTTTCTCTGTGGCTTTGGAGGCTGTCCTGGAACTAGCTCTGTAGTCCAGGCTGGTCTCGAACTCACAGAGATCCTCCTGCCTCTGCCTCCCTAGTGCTGGGATTAAAGGTGTGTGTCACCACTGCCTGGCTTGTAAAAAAACTTTTTTAACTAAGGGAAAATGGTGAAGTGTCCAATAAAACTAGAATAAAGTATGAACAATTCTACCATACTGGCAAAAACATTCATGAGAAGGACAAAATAGGTTTCTAGGTGGCTATTTAAATAAAAGCTAAAGATAATTAACCTTCAACATATTTAAATAGATGAACATAATGGATTTTTGTACTGGCTTGGCCTTTCACCAAAATATTAGTGAAAAACTTTTAACCCAGCCAGATTTTCTAGTTAAGAGAATCTAGGAATAAACACATTAACATATAATGATTTTTTACAGGCCAACTAAACACCGATGTCTATTAAGACGGTTGGCTTTTGGCAGACTTTTAACATTATTTTTTTTCCAGAAGATTTGGATATTGAAAAACCATCACCCTGTATCAATTTAGTTACTAAAGATACACAGGATTAGAATAGTCAGAGAAAGCAATTACAGTTTGGTGAATGGTGAAGGATGTCTCTGGTGTTCCTAAGGCTTTTCCCAGTACTCAGATGATTCGAACAACAAAACATAAAAGAGAAGAAAGACTATGAAGAGATGCACAAATGCCAATACATTTCCACAAACAATAATCAAATTTGTGTGAAAGTATATAAATTTTAGGTTATATGGTTGAATTAAATATTTTTCATATTTTAAAAAATATGTACTTTAAACTGGGCATTTGTGGCACACGCCTTTAATCCCAGCACTGGGGAGGCAGGTGCAGGCGGATCTCCGTGAGCTCCAGGCCAGCCTGGTTGACAAAGCCAGTTCCAGGACAGCCAAGGCTGTTAAACAGAGAAACCCTGTCTCAGAAAACAAAACAAAACAAAACAAAACAAAAAAACAAAAAAAGAAACCTATTTTGAGTTTATGTGTATGTGTGTGCCTGCTACAGTGTGCTGGTGTCAGAGAAGGCTATAGGAGAGCCTTAGATGCCCTGGAGCTGGAGTTACAGGCAGCTCACAGAGGCTGGACAGGGTGCTAGGAACTGATTCCGGGTCCTTTGCAAGAGCAGCAAGCACACTTACCCACTGAACCATCTATCTAACACCAAGCTTTTTCCATTTTAATTGGTTACAAAAGGGCATGAGACAAGCTTAAAAGAATCATGAGTTTGTTTATAAATTTAGGTTATAGAAAACTTATATCCCCTGTGTTTTTGTGTGGTATCGAAGAATTCTTAGTTTATACAGATTTAAAAAACATTCATAAACATATATATATATATATATATATATATATATATAATTCTCAAGGTCTGAGTGCTGTGTAGTTGGTTGTTCATTAAACATTTACTGAAAAGTTTATGCTGCACTAAGCCCTATGCTAATTGTTATTCATCAACTGCCTCTGAAACAAATTACTGTTTTGAGCTTAATATTGCCTTGGATCTTTTGCCTAATTATGAATAAAACAATATTGCTAAAATCAAAGTACTTTTCAAAACCATTTTGATAATATATTAATACTTTAGAGGGAACTATCATTTTCTTGGTAGTCAACTGAACAAAGAAAGCACTAAGTATTAACATATGCCAATCACAACAGAAATTAAAGTTACCCATATGGTAAGAAAACTGTCCAAACTTGTTCAAGTCAATTTAAGCAGGTTAAGATTTGAAATCATTGTTCTGCATAGTTCTTCAATGGTCTCTTTAAAAAAAAAATTCTTAACCTGAAACACTAGTATGATAAAGAACATGGTCCAAACTAAATAGTGTTACTGAAAACAAACAATATTATGCAGAGTGTGCGGAACAATGGAACGATGGTACTCTTTGAAGGTGACGATGATAGGACAACAACATTCACATACACATCACCACCAGCTTAGAGGAGATGCAAGTACACACACAGAATCTGGAAGCACAAAGGTAAGACTTTCATGGCAATGTTCACTTCACTGTCTACATTTGGCCCACTTTAAAAGACAACCAATTAACACTTGGCAATTGGTAGTAATGCAGATGGTGATAGACGACAACATCTTTGAGCTCAAACTGGTATTTCTCTTAACTTCCTATTTTTGTTTGTGGATGTTTGTTTTGGTTTGCCCATGCTGTTCTACAGAGCTTCTCAAACAGAAGCTTCCTGAGTTACTGGGTTATTTATAGGCAAGATATCAGTTGTGCCTTGTGAGGCTTAACTACCATCAGTTATAAGGGACTTCAGGCTCTCTGAGCAGTAACTCCAATTCCAAGGAGAAAGACAGAAGGACAGAGGAAGAGAAAACATTTGGGGCTAAATGCTCAAATATGTCTTATGAAGAATGGGTAATCTCCACTGATACATACTTTGAAGAAGCAACATGACACACATAAATCATGACTACCAGAAAACTGGCTCTTCTGTCAGGTGGGAGCTCTTCGTCTTAAAGGGCGAAAGAAGCATGCACTTGAAATAAACATGTGTCAAGAAATGCACTACAGTAGACCTCTAATAAAGCTCTTAAGTCGTCAGGAATCTTAATCTCTCATATTTCACAATGCTTCACAGTTTCAAAGAGCTTCCATATGGTTGCTGTCATCTGATCTTAATTTGACAACTTTGTGAGGTAGGTAGAGTAGATATTCATTTTCAAACAAGGGGCGTTAGGCTCAAGGAGGCTGACTTGTTCAAAGTTGAAAACTAGCATATGGCAAAGCCAAGCCTCTCCAGAGTCTAGAATATTTTTTCTGAGTGTCATTCTTGGATAGCCTGCTACGAATCTTCTGTGGTGTTTTTAGAAATACAGATTTGTGAAATCCTACTGCCTTCGACTCTCCAGAGATGAGAGCTGAGAATTCTGCATTTTATAATGGATAATAAAGTAGGAAACAAAAGTATATTAGGTAACAATGTAAAGTGTATTATTGGATCTGGCTAGATCTTCCCAGTGATCAAAAGTGATGCCATCAGCCTATCATTAGGGGAAATTGAACTTAAAAGAATGGGCTTTTCCAGCCTGGCTAGATAATAATCACCTGGAAAACTTTTGTTTTTAAAGCATCAACTCTCACCTGAAAGATGTTGGCCAACACGAGTTCCCAGAGTGAATTTTACCTGCAATTGGGGCTGAGAATTACTGTGTTTTCTTAATAGCACATTAGCATTTTCCAGAATTTTTCTTTCTGATCAGTTTCATACCCAATGAAGTTCACAGGTAAATCCTAAATCATTTAAGCTTTATAAGATAAAATATCAAGCATTTTTTGATATTTTTAAGATTAAAAGGTATTCACAGAAAGAGTAAGCATGTTCCACTTAGCTACAATGATTTTCAAGAACACAAATTAATCATCACTCTGGACTTAGATTATATACCTCAGATGTAAACAATAATTCAGAAACTGAAAATAGGGATGCGGGGCAAAAGCAGTAGCTAACTGGCTACTGAGGAATTTGAGTGCAGACAATCAGCTCACTATAGGAAGGCCTGGGTATCAATGTCTGATGGCTTTGGCAAGGTCACATCTCACTGTAGAAAAATACAACAATGAATACAGAGAAAATATTTTGCCATTTTGTAATTTGTTTACCACTAAAAACCCTTATAATGTGTGATGTTTATCTTACTGCATGCCTCCACAGAACATATCTGAACATGAAGTTGTCTATGAATCAATACAATTACCTGGGAAAAGATGGCCACAAATTAAATTTTTTTCTATCATGCATATGGATATTATAAAATCATAGCCCATAAAAGTAATATTTACAAAAGTAAAAAAAATACAACTACAGGGGAAATGCTCATCTCTGCCTTTACTCCAGGGCTAATCCACATCCTGAATATCTCTGGGGGAAGACAGACAGACTTTGAGAGAACCTCTCCCAGGCCAACTGGACTTTTCTGGCACTTTTATCCTATTACCTAAATACCCTTGCTGGCTTATCACAGTCTTCTACAGTTTAAAAACAGTTCCTTTTCTCATTCAGTGGAAATAAACCTACAAAGTCCTAGTATTCATCTGAGAAATAAGCCTTGCATAGAAATTTTCTTTAATTCTGAAACTTTGTTTTATTAACAGAGCTACCAGAATGTCATTTCACAACTAGTTCACATGATATGAAAGTTCACTACAAAGCAGTCACCACACATATAGGATTTTTCTAAATATAAAATAAGTGGGTTTATAAAAATGCTTATCAGACAATCATCTCTTCACAACCTGGAAAGAATTATTTTTGTGATGACATGATTCTTTGTGTTTTGGATGTGTTTACGCGCCAAGTTTGATGTGATACAAAGAGCAAAGATCTGCCTTCTCAGTGGGCATACTCTGCCTGATTGAAAGCAGGATGACAGTGAGTTACAGCAGCCAGCCATGCAAAGGCAAAGACTAAAACCTGCTTTTCAACAGCACACATTTTCACCTTAGACAAGACTAAGCACTGGTCCCATCCTCTTCAATAACACGGTTCATGCTGGTGCCGTGTGTAATGTGAGTCATGGGGTTGTTACTGAGGTCTCGAATGCTGCTATGTCGTGACTGCTCATTAAGCCGATGAGAACTACTGTGCCTGGAGTGATCCGTCAGGCGTGACATGCTGCCATGAGGTAGTCTCTCCTCCATTCCTCGGTAACTGCAGGGAGTGTACCTGTGTAACAGAGTGGATCTTGAAGTGAGTAACTGAACACATCAGAAAGTAACACTAAATAATTTCATTAACTGAACACACCAGAAAGTAACACTGATAATTTTCATTAGTGATTGAAGTGCTCAGCAAATCCACAGTGAGAAAGCAATAACTGGCATGATTATTAAGAGTAATTCCATTAAGCTGTAGAATTATCTGATATGATTGACAGAAAGAGAGAATCCACTTAGGTTCAGGATGAAAGTCCGACTCCCTGCAAAAGGGCAAACTGTAAATAAGCAAGGCTGACCTACTTGAAACTATGTTAAGTACACACACTTTTCTTACTCAAGTATGTGTCAAATACAGTGGGCCCAGAGATGAAGAAAGGGAATGAGGCACTGCCCTCAGACTCTAGAAGAGTAGGTATAGTCAGGAACAGCTCAGAATCCAACTACTAAATGACTAGGGTTAGAAGAGGGAATACATGAAGTGAGAGGAGAAATGAAGAGTGACTTAAAAGAGTGAGCTGCTAAGCACTGATGACATCTGTGCCCATGGTGTCTAGACGGGTTAGTTAACAGCCAATCAGTCATCTATAAATGATCTTAATTCTTTTCCTCAGGGTTTAAAGCTGTGAAGATGGTAATCTGTAGAAGTTATATCTACTTGAAAGTTGCATCCTGACACCCTATAACCAATTCTCTCATCAGCAAATCCTTGTGCCCCTAGCTGGGCTACACACCTTACTCTAGGTGGTCTTCCTACCCAAAAATGCAACAGAGGGTTAATTAAATTTTCTTTTGTTGAAACCCTGACTCAATAAACCACATTAGAGGCAAGAATATAAAAATACAAAAAACAAGGACAACATCAAAAATCTCAGTCACTGGGTCTAGGTCAGTCAAGGTCACGAAAACCAATTAGACTTTTTTATTGGTTCATTTATAGAGCTCAAATGGTATTTATCAATCTTCCTGGCTAAATAGTGAGTTATTTCAGGATAAGTACCATATTTTAATATCTTAATCTGTAGTACCTTGAGAAACTTTTTCCTAAAATATTTTTGCCCTGCAGACTAGGCTGGTCTCAAACTCACAGAGTTCCACCTGCCTCTGCCTCCTGAGTGCTAGGATTAAAAGCATGCACCACCACCACCACCTGGCTTTCTTTCTTTCTTTTTAAGGTAAGGTCTCTAGTCCTGACTGTTCACTATGTAGACTAGGCTGGCCTTAAATTTAAGGAGATACGAGCCGGAGGCAGAGGCAGGCAGCTCTCCATGAGTTCGAGGCCAGCCTGGTCTACAGAGCAAGTGCCAGGATAGGCTCCAAAGCTACACAAAGAAACCCTGTCTTAAAAAACCAAAAAGAAAAAAGATTGGACTACAGGCAAGCCTGTCAGGCATTTTCTTGATTAATAATTGATAGGGAAGGCCTAGTCCACTTTTGGTGGTGCCTCCCCAGGCAGGTAGGTGTTGTATAAGAAAGCAGGCTGAGCAAACAATGAGGAATGAACCAGGAAGCAGTGTTCCTCCATGGCCCATGCACCAATTCCTGTACTGGTTCCTGATTTAAGTGCCTGCCCTGATTTCTCTGGATAATGAACCTACAAACTGTGAACTGAAATAACCCCTGATCATGGTGTTTTAGCACAGCAACAGAAATCCTGTATAGCATCTTTATTATTTTTTTTCTTTATTCAAACTTGAAACAGATAGGGTTGGGTTGGGGGGCGGGGTTGGAGCAGGGTTCCACTATGTAGCTTTGGCTGGCCCCAAATTTGTAGAGATCTTTCTATCTCTGCCTCCTCTTTGAGTGATAGAACTAAAGGTGTGTGCCAACTGTGCCTGGTCCCTAAGTTAGATTTTTAAAGACCTGAAAGAGGACTTCTGAATTTTAAACTCTGTAACTGAATGAAAAGTCCATTGGCAAGCACTGCTGTAAAACTAGATGGCTACCTCAGCAGTATTCATGAATGTTTCTTTCAGATCTTTTAATTTTACAAATGATTCACCTTAAGTCACAATATATTTTTTATAGTTATGATGAAAGAATGGTAGGTGACTTTTTTTTTTTTCTTTTAAGACAGGATTTCTCTGTGTAACAGCCCTGGCTATCCTGGAACTCATTCCATAAACCAGCTGGCCTTAAACTCAAAGAGATCTGCCTGCCTCTGCCTCCCTGGTGCTGGGATTAAAGGTATGTGCCACCAACGCCCCGCTCTGTAGTCCAATCTTATGCAGGTATTTTCTCTACTGAGAGTCTCTGTTCCCAAATGACTCTAGCTTGCTTCAAGAGAACATAAAACTAACCAGGACAGATGTATATTTAAATGTTTTTAAATTTTCTCATATTATGAGTACACATTTCAGCCAGGCATGGTGTACTTGTAATCCCAGGAACTAGGAGATGGAGACAGAAGTCTCAACTCAGCTTTGGCTATGTAGTGAATTTCAAAGCCAACCTGGACTACATGAGACCCTACCCTGTTTCCAAACACTTAAAATATTTTACATTTAAGAACCTAGAGACATTTACATTTTTAACTGCATGTTTTGGTAAAATAATTGGAATGCTTGCAAATGCAATATGTTACAATGGACTTGTTAGAATATATTTTACAATTATTATTTTGCATAATGATTATTGTTTTTCGAACTATATAGATTCCCTAATTTCCAAATATGACTTGCCAACTTTTACCTTCGAATGTATCAATTTAAAATAATATGGCAAATAAAGAAAGCAAATGTTCTAGCAATAACAGAAAAATAATTAAAAACAAAACAAACGGAGTCCTGTGTGGTGTTGCATATCTGGAATCCTACTTGGAAGACTGAGGTAGGAGGATTGGCAAGTTTGAGGCATGCCTGGGCAATGTAGCAAGACACCATCTCCAAAAAAGAGGCCAGGGAAGCCAGAGAAATGGTTCAGTAGGTAAAGAGTCTGCTGTGCAAGCAGGAGGACCTGAGTTCAATGCCTAGAAACCTCTTAAAAGCTGGCATGGCTGTACACACCAGTGCCCTAGTGCTGGGGAGGAAGAGATACACAGGTCCCTGGAGCTCACTGGCAGCTAGACTAACCAAATCTGTGAGCTCCAGGTTCAGTGAGATACCTCTTCTCAAAAAGAATAAGAACATCCAATGTTGACACATTGTATACACACATGTATACATACATACACATGCACAATCAATAAAACATACCACACACACACTACAAAGGGGGTGTCTGGGAAATGAAATTTAATAGTAAAGTACTTGCTTACCATGTGCAAGGCCCTGGGTTTAAGCAGGAATGGGAAGGGAAGAGAGAAAAGGGAAGAGAGGAAAAGAGGGCAAAGGGTGGAAGGGAGGAGAGCAGAGAACACGCAGTCATTTAAAATATACAAATGAGGGCTTTCAGAGGACTGGAGTTTAGATCACAGCACCCATATCACACAGCTCATACCTGCCTGCAACTCCAGTTCCAGGAGATCTGATGCCCTCTTCTACCCCACAAACACACAGACACACACACATAAATAAAAATAAAGTCTTTGCCTAGTGTTGAGATTATAAGCATGTGCCATTTGTGCCTGATATATTTATGTGTGCTGCTGGTGCTGAACGCCCCCCCCCCAGCATACATTTTCATAGGAAAAATTACATTGTACAATTATTATCTGAGAAACATGACTATCCACAGAATTCTAAAATATAAATATCCTGCCCATGAGTAAATAAGAACTAACTATACAGAAAACAAGTTTAATTATAGTGTAATATAAATTGTATATGTAGGAACTGTCAAATTTCTGTAACTTTCAAAAGCCATTTAAACCAATGTGATTATATGCCATACAATATGAAAATACATATTTTATATGACCTTGAATATAAAATGTAGTTTTAATATATGTTTAGATGAAATATTAGGATGGTCACTTTGCTGTTGCTGTTAAAAATATAATATGGGCACTCCAGAGTCGGTGAAAAAGAGATAGTTTAGGTTTTGATTCTCTTTACTATTTGCTACCATTCATCTGAATAATTAAACCAATCATAGTTTCAGTAGTGCATTATTATTCACTCCACTGCTTTCCCTTGCCAGGTCACCTATGTACCAATCTAGTTACTCATCCCCAAACTTCTACCCACTGACTTTCTTTTGTAGCTATCCTCTCATCTAACTAACAATTACTTATTCTTTGAAGTGGTGTTTACATTTATGTAGTACAGAGCTCAATAATTACCCATGTAGTGAAACAAAATGAGTACTGGGAATCTGTGACCCAAGGCCAGGATGCCTTGAGATAAGAAGACAACACTAACATGCAGTTAAAGCCTGACTGAGCAGAAGGGAGATGGCTTTTTGGATTATGAAAATTCTTGTTTAGACTTTTAGTCTCAATGTAGTCTTGAAAACTCTCACATCTGCCCTACAGTTCTGGGTATGGAAAAAAGTCCTATGTGCATATTCATTCACCCAGATACAGGATGCCTTCAAAGACCCCACCTACATCATTTTGCTTCATATGTATGTATTGTACCCTTTCTATAAGGTTCTATGTTCCTAGAATATAGAAATTAGGAAACTTTTTAAAGATTTATTTATTACATATACAATGTTTTGCCTGCATGTATGTCTGCACACCAGAAAAGGGCACCAGATCGCATTATAGATGGTTGTGAACCACCAGGTGGTTGTTGGGAATTGAATTCAGGACCTCTGGAAGAACAGCCAATATTCTTAACTGTTGAGCCACTTCTCTAGCTCCTTAGAATATAGAAATTAAAAATCTTTCTTTTCTATATATTTATGCACAGAATGTCATATACAAATATAATACTGTAATAATGTCTATTCATCAACGAAAAGGATGAGGCCAGGATGTCAAATATCATCACTAAGAGTTCATAGATAAAATACATTCCAAAAGATGGAATCTCTATTGTGGACTATTCCTTTACACTGTAAATATATGTCACTGTGATTGAGTTAATAAAGAGGCTGGCCAGGTGGTGGGATCACACGCCTTTAATCCCAGCTCTCGGGAGGCAGAGACAGGAGGATCTCTGTGAGTTTGAGGCCAGCCTGGTCTATAGAGTGAGTTCCTGGACAGGCTCCAAAGCTACAGAGAAATCCTATCTTGAAAAACAAAAACAAAACAAAACACAACAGAAGAAGGAGGATATGGAGGAGAAAGAGGAGGAGGAGGAGGAAAAGGAAGAGGAGGGGGAGGAGGAGGAGGAGGAGGGGGAGAAAGAGGAAGAGGAGGAGGAAGAGGAGGAGGAGCAGGAGCAGCAGCAGCAGCCGCCGCTGACTGGCCAATAGCTGTACAGGCAGAGGTTAGGCAGGACTTGCAGACAAAAAGAGTGTGAAGGAAGGGGAGGAGTCTCAGAATTTCAAGGAGATGCAGAGATGAATTTGCCATACTGAGAAAAGGTACTAAGCCATGTGGCAGAGAGTAAATAAGAAATATGGGTTAATTTAAGATGTAAGAGTTAGCTAATAACAAATCTGAGTTATTGACTGAGCACTTATAATTAATAAGTCTCTGTGTGATTATTTGGGAGTGGCTGCCAGGACACAGAGAAACTGTGCCTATGCATTATCTCCTTATCAATATCTTAAATTAAGATCTCATATCAACAGTTCCATTATACTTTCCTTTCTCATGCTGTTCTAAAATTCAATCAGACTTTATTATCTTAGTACTCAAAGTCCTGCAATAGCCTCTCTGTCAGAGAAACCCAAACTCAACACACACTATGCTGTGGTCACACCTCGGCACCAAAACTTGCCTTACTGTTCTTGCCTCTATATACACTGCTCCCTTGTCTTTCATTCCCATGTGTCTCCTCTGAACTCTGTTTAAAGTAGAAGTGCCATCTGATGGGAAGCTGCTTCTGACTGTCCATGTTGAGGTAGATGGTGCTCTTCTCTGAGATCCTAAAGCATCTTATACACATTTTGATCTCCTCTCTCTCTCTCTCCCTCCCCCCTCTCTCTGTGTGTCTGTCTGTCTCTGTCTCTCTCTCCAGGTTCTACATAAGAGGGAAAAAAGTTGTCTTTGCTATCTAGCTTATTCCATTTAATACGATCTGCAGTTCTACTCATTTTCCTTCAAAAGAGTGACTTTCTTTTTCTTTATACCTAAATAAAACCTCACTGTGCACATGCATTACATTTTGTTTATATGTTCATCTATTGATGAAAATCTAAGCTGATTCTACACTTGGCTATTCTGAACAGCAATGCAATAAACACAAGTAGAGGGGTGTGATGGGGGATGTCCTTCTGTATACATGTTTCTCTTATTGGTTGATGAATAAAACACTGTTTGGCCTACAGAGGCAGGAAGATAGGCAGGGCTAGGAGACAAGGAGAATTCTGGGAAAGATAGGCAGAGAAGTGCCAAGGAGAGTCACCATGTAGTGGAGGAAGGAGTAACAGGTTTGGACGCTTCTCCAGTAAAATAAGACCACGTGGAAATACTTAGATTAATAGAAAATGGGTTACAGAGCAAGCCAACAGGAAGCCCTAGCCATCGGCCAACAGTTTAATAATTAATATTAAGTCTTTGTGTGCTTATTTGGGGCTGAAGCAGCCGTGGGATCTGGTGGGACAGAAAAAACGAGCAACAGAGGTGTGGTGGATTGAATGTAATTGGCTCCCATAGGCTCACAGGGAGTGGCACTAATGAGAGGTCTGGTTTTATTGAAGTAGGCATGGCCTGGTTGGAGGAAGTGTGTCATATGGGGGCGCAGACCTTGAGGTCTTTCCCGCTTAAGCGTCACATCTATTTCCTGTTGCCTGCAAGATGCAGCACTCTCAGCTCCTTCTCCAGCACCATGTCTGCCTGCATGCTACCATGCTCCCTGTCATGATAATGGATTGAACCTTTGAAACTGTAAGACAGCCCCATTTAAATTTTTTCCTTTGTAAGAGCTGCTGTGGTCATGGTTGTCTCTTCACAGCAATAAAAACCCTATGCTGACTTAGATCCCTTTGGGTATCTTCTCAGGAGTCATACAGGTAAATCATAAGGCAGCTCTATTTTTGGGGTTATGAGGGACCTCCATACTGATTTCCATAGTGGTTGAATAATTTACATCCTCCCCAGCAATGCTTATCCCATCTCCTCTCCATCCTTCTTATGCTTATCCCATATCCATCCTTATGCTTGTTTTTTTTAAAGAAAAATATACCTTTCAAGTAAGCTGTTCCTCTCTCCCCACTGCTTCTTTACTCTCTGATAAACCCTATTATCTCTCAAATGATTTAATGTGGCAGCTCGTAAGCAGTTTCTAGCTCTAGTACCCTAACCTCAAATTTAATGAGAAACCCACAGCCAGGCTTCCTTCAAGCTCTTTCTCTGAAGCATGTGCATGTGAGTACATGTTCCTGTGAAGGTGTCAGATCCTTTGGAGCTGGAGTTGCAGATGGTCTGGAGCTGTCTGATATGGGTGCTGGGAACTGAACTCGGGTCCTCTGGAAGAATAGCAAATACTTTTAATTGCTAAACTGTCTCTATAGCTCCCCAGATATACATTATTTATTTTCTTGGGGTGTAGTTCAAGACAGGGTTCCTCTGTGTAACAGCTCTGGTTGTCCAGGAACTTGCTTTGTAGACCAGGCTGGCCTCGAACTCACAAAGATCCACCTGCCTCTGCTGCGAGTAAAAGTGTGCACCACTACCTGGCAAAATTCACCTTCCTAAACTGATTAGTCCACCTTCCCTTATCCCCACTCAGTACACTACAATGATGCCATATTGCTTTTGTGTCAAGTCTAAACCCCAAAGTCCTTTGATTGGCTTTAAGTCCCATTATCTGGGACAACTATAACCAGAAAATTAAAAAAGCTTAATAATGTTCCACTTCTGTTTCGGAATTGGCTCCTGTTTCCTAAGCTCTGTGATCCTAATTGAATACATATAATAAACTGAGTTGCTCCCAGATCTTACCTGCCATCACGTGACCTGTGGAGGCTGCCATGGTAGCTGCTCACTTTGCTGTGGACACTCCCTGCTTTGCTTCTTTGATCATCCACCATGGCCAGCTGAGTTGAAGAAGCATGTGTGGATGTTCCTTGAGTGGAAGTTCCTCTGGATTTTCTTATAATAGGAGTATTTGGGTCCCGCAGGAGCGACTGAGCAAAGTCAGGCTCCTGGAGCACCTGTCGGCTCTCATTCACTATCCTACACAATACAACAGGAAGTTTAAGATACAAACATTCCTACAGACCAACAAACAGTACTGCTATGCAATACTGGTTGATGCTAGTCTTGAAATTAATTGTTCCCCAAATTAAGTTTCTGGGACCAATTTGAGGTAAAATTTTTGGCACAGGAAAGAATATAACTAAAACTTGTGTCAATAACTGGGTCTGATGCCAGTAATCCTAGCATCTGGGATGTTGAGATAGGAGGATCATAAGTTTAAAGTTATCTTCAAGTTCAAAGCCAGCCTAAACTATGTAAGACCTTGTGTCAAAACACAACAACAAAACAAACCCAATGCCATTTGCCCTAAAGTGGTGTGACACAGAGACCATGTTAGGGTAAGAAAATCAAGATTGTAGTTCCAATTTTGGGAGTACATAGGTGATCTCAACAAGTTACTATCCCGTCTTTATTTTATCTATGAAACGAAGGCTGATAAGTCTATTATTTCTTTTTTTTTTTCTTTTTTCTTTTTTGGTTTTTCGAGACAGGGTTTCTCTCTGTCCTGGAACTAGCTTTTGTAGACCAGGCTGGTCTTGAACTCACAGAGATCCACCTGCCTCTGCCTCCTGAGTGCTAGGATTAAAGGTGTGCACACCACCGACTGGCTAACTAGGAATATTTTTTATTAAAATCAGGAATATGATATTACCATCACTCGTAATCAACTCCTTCAATAGTTTCAGACTAGAATTCAATAAAAGAAAGAAATTAGGGTTATAAACTTTTAATGTGCACTAAATTAGAATGGAGCAATAATCTATCTTTTCATATGTTTGACAGACTTGCGTAAGCAATGGAAAACTTCAAACAGAAATTAAAGTTACCTCTTACATTGAACAGCTATGTGGCTATGGCCAGGCATTTATGCTGCTCTTAGTTTTTCTTATCTGAAAAGAGATGAGAATACACACCTAACCTTCCCCAGGAAGCTAGCTAGGAAGGCCAGGTAAATAGGAAGGGAAAAAAGCATCCACTTGTTTTCCATTTCAAGAAAACTATACTTTGAATGTTCTGCAATGCTTAGCCTTCCTTCCTTATTAAGGATTAGAATAGGGAAGCACTTGAATGGCTCTACTCAGCCATCTTCTCCAAATCAGAGTTTCAGTTGTTTTTTATTGATTTTTTTTTTCTTAAGATGGAGTCTTCCTGTCTGGCCTCAAACTCCTAATCCTCCTATCTCAGCCTAGTCAATAACTAAGATTACAGGTACGAGCCACTGTGTCCAGCTAGTTTTCATTTTAAAGTCAAGCTACTGTGCCAAATGTTACTAGTCACTGCTGATAGTTACAATCTTGTTAGAATACTTCTTCAAGCCCAACACACGAGCACATACACACCTGCTTGCACACCCCCCTCCCCCAACACACAAGGGCTGTTAATACTGTGAGGACTCATTAACTTACTCTTTTTTTCTACGACCATGGAAAAAACTGGCCCATTCAAAGCATGTGTTTTTGCTTCCAACCCAAAATATAGAGGGAATCCCGACTATGAGAGCCATCAGATACTTCATCAGAAAGAGAATCAGGTCTGGACGACTCATCTGAGTAACCTACAGGAAGGCAAAGAAAATCACCTTAAATATGTGCATCTATTAAAGGCAAATATAGAAATATAAACAGGCAACAGTGAAATCATGTTACAAACTTAGTATCTTGGTGTCTAAAGTTCTGTGGATAATTGTCATGGATCCTCAGAAGAGCAAGTACTCTTTTTTTTTTTTCCCCAGATTTTTTTTATTTGTATTAGAAAGAAGATTGTTTTACATGACAATCCCAGTTCCCTTCTCTGACTCTCAATCTTTTCTATTCTTGACTAATTTTCTATCAACCTTTTAGTTTTAGCAGAGATATACTCACATGACTGTGAACCTGCCAATTCTCATCCTGTCAATGTCACTCTGTATCTTGCTAGTAAAGGAGACGCTCTAGCCATTTGTCTTACTTTGTTACTGTTCTTTCACCTTACATTTTGTCTAAATTTAACATTGTTCATTAGCTATTTTCTTACTCATACCAACATGTTTTCTTTGAGGATTTCCCAATACCTCTTCATAGACTGTTTCTTTCCCCATAAGTCCTATGTCTGTGATAGCCATGCCTTTTAAACACAACGTGTAGTTTACCTCTGGAATGTAAACTCCATGAAGATATAGGTTTACTAACTGTCTTCAAGTGTTTTATTTCCAGGGCCTTTAAGCAGTGCTCAACACATGATTGATACCCAATAAATACATATGTATTTGAATATATACTTACACTTTTAAAACTTTTTAGATAGGATCTCACTGCTTATCCCTGGCTGATGCAGAACTCCCTATGTAGACCAGGCTGGCCTCAAACCCACAGAGATCCATCTGTCTCTGCCTCCTGACTGTTGGGACTAAGGGTATGTACCACCATACCTGGCTACTTATACTTGGTTTTATTAGGAAGAAATTACAGTTAAAAGCCAGGCAGGGGTGTTGGTTGCACACACCTTTAATCCCAGTATCTGGGAGGCAGAGGCAGATGGGTCTCTGTGAGTTCAAGGCAAGCCTGGTCTACAAATCGAGTGCCAGGACAGCCAGGACTGTTATACAGTGAAACCCTGTCTCGAAAATGCAAAAACCCAAAATAGGTAAAATTATTCAACACCAACCATTATCTTCTTCACAAGACAGTGCTCCCTTCCATAACTACCTAGTTTTGAAGTATTTGGAGTAATTTTCACTAAAATACTATTTTATCATTACTAACTCTGCCTAGAGCTACTTAAGACTTCTCCTTTTTCCACTGCCTTCTTGGGTACAGTTTGCCAAGCCTTTGTCTAAAAGCATCTCTGTCCATTAACCTTGAGTGGTCATACTGCACGGTGATACTATCTGTTACTATCTTAAAGTCCACTATCTGCAAAGTCCTGCTGCTGCTGGAGAGACCCCCGCCTTACACTGGAAACTTTTGCCTCTGGTAGTCTTTAACTTTGCACTCATTACTCCTTATTGTCTTTTACTTCTCACTAGCATTCTGATTGTTGTTTTAACCAATTTTGTTGTTGTTTCAAGACAGGGTTTCTCTTGTGTAGCCCTGAGTGTCCTGGAACTCACTGTATAGACCAGGCTGGCCTTGAACTCAGAGATCTGACTGCCTCTGTCTTCCGAAGTCTGAGATTAAAGGTGTGTACACCATTATGCCCAAAATATATTCTTAAAATATTAACTTATTGTATGTGTGTTGTGTTTTTCCTGCATGTATATCTGTGTGCCATCTGCATGCCTGGTTCCTACAAAGGCCAGAAGATGGCACTGGATCTCTGGGAACTGGACTGTAGGCTGTCATGTAGGTGCTGGGAACTTAATCAAGGTCCTCAGCAAGAGAAGCAAGTGTTCTTAGCAATTTATGAGCTGTATCTGCAATCCCACAACATATTTGTTTAAAGGAAGATTTTCTTAAAATATTAAGGAACCAATGTATGTTTCATAAAATGATATATAAATAGTTACAGCAATCTTGTACCTAATAAATGTTCAAATATATGTCTCATGGAACACTGCTGTCTCAATTGCAAGGCTGGAGAGATGGCTCAGCAGTTAAGAGCACTTGTTAATTTCAGTTCTTAGCACCCATGCTGGGGAAGGGGTGGTCATAAATGCCTGTAACTTCAGCTCCAGAGGATCTGACACCCTCTTCTGGTCTCCTCAAGTACCTACATACATGTGGCGCATACTCACCCAGACATATAAAGATTAAAAAAGTTACTGTGGTGAAATAAAACATGGAGACTATAACCCCTTTTGAAGGATTTTTTACATTTGTGTGCTAAAGTTTCTGAATAGCCCTGGAGTAAGGAAGTGATTTACATCATTTTCCCTCAACCCTGCCCCCCTAAGCTGATAGACACTGAAGACTTGGAAAGGGAAAATTCTAGGCATTGTCTAATAGTCTATGAGCCTATTCATCTCATAGTACAAGGATGAGCTACCACACATGCTTGGCTTTGAACTGTTGTTTCTGCTGCCTTAACTTCCCAAGTACTAAGATCAGAGGTGTGTGCAACCATACCCTGGTTGGAAAAACTGTAGAATAATGATACACTAATTTTTATGTCTAATTTTGTTGTCTTCTCCATGATTGAAAATCCATCAGACTAATTAACATGTACATTAACCATGGTTGTATGTATCCAGAGAGAGAGAGAGAGAGAAATAGAGGGGGGGGGGAAAGGGAATCTCTACAAAGGTTAGAGTACAAGAACGAAGTGGCTAAGAAACATACTTCAAATCACATTTGCTTTAATAAATGGTCAAATGAGGGCTCATAAGAAAAAGACATTACTGTAGAGAGGTGATCTAATTCCATAATGCAAAGAGGGGCTACAGAGATACCACAGAAGTTATTAGCTGTTTTTCCAAAGGGCCTCAGTCTGATTCCTAGCTCCCACATGGTGGCTCACAACAATCTGGAACTCCCATTTGTTGAGGATTGGATGCACTTTTCTAGACTCCCTGGATATTAGGCATACACGAAGACATACGTGCTGCAAAACCTCTCTTATGCATTAATAATAATAATAATAATAATAATAATAATAATAATAATAATTTAAATAATACAATGAGGAAGACAATGGATAATAACTTTAGAAAATACAAGTGGTAAAGGTGAAATAAGGAAGTGCAATGGGAGAGCTCAAAAGGAATCACATAATTCCTAATGTTGCAGCTGTCAAGTACTGGCTTGAAAAATGTGTCTTCAAAAATCACTTGAAAAGTTAAGTGCCTTGAACTTGTGCCTATAAGGGAATGATCATCTGAAGTTGGAGTGATTACTTATAGACTTTGGGCAAACCCTTCATTTTGTAGAAATGTCATTAAGATACAGGGAGGTGAAATGATTCACCTTAAGGTTAAATTTATTTGCATCCCCAGTCATTTAAATTTTGAGTGTTACTATGTCCCACAGCAGATGAGTCAGAATATTCTGTGCACTTGTTGAATTTCCATTCTATGGAAAGGTAGGGTAGAATGCTGTTAATACACAAGGGAATAAGGAAATCTTAGGCATTTAGGGAGCAGTAAAATTACTAAAGCAAGGTGAGGGGCAAAGGAGAGAAGAGTATTTGGGGTATGAAATGACAGAGAGGAATTAGATAGCAGAATGGCCAAGGTCTCTCTACAGACATGACACATTAGATAGAGGTTGAGGGTATATTTTGGAGTGTAAGTATTTCAAACAGAAACACTGATAAAAGATAATCCTAAGGAAAATTTGTTACTTTTGAAGAAAAACAAAGAGGCCAATAAAGCTAGAGTGAGGTAGAACAGAGCATGCAAGGAGGAAAATGGCAGGAGATACTGTCAGAGAGAATTAGCAGGACAATGTCTGGTCCTGCCAAATGGTAAGAATACAAATTTCATACAAATACAAATACAAATACAAAGAACAACAGGAAGCCATTGAAGGGCTTTGTTCAAAGGGGCAACCAAGTTCACTTGTGTTTTCAAAAGATTATTATGGCTACCATGCTGAAACAAGCTGTGAAAGAGTAAGAGTGCAAGCAGAAGGCCACTGTGCAAGTAGATGAATGCTTGATCACGGGAGGAAGTGGAGGTGGTGCAAAGCTAACTGGGTTGAATGCAAAGTATGAAAGGAGACAAGGCTTGAAGATACCTCCAAATTAAGAATTTGAACAACTGGGGAATGCAAACACCATTCAGTGAATGGAGGGAAACTGGGGGCGAGATGCAGGAAGCAGGTTTTTAGGAGAAATATTAAGAGTTCAAAATTAAGCTTGGAAACATCATGCAAATAGGCATTTTGGAGCTTAGATACATGTCTAAAACATGGGGAGATTAAGGCCATCCAGAAGCGGGGGTGGGATGGGGGGGATAGAGCACAGACGAGAAGTCCTATTTTCCAGGTTCTTTCCTCTAGTGTTTTATGCTGTATGGTACTGTCTTTTATAAATCAACATTGCTCACATAACAGAAATGTTTGAATTAAAGGGAAGGAGTGCTAAAAACAAAATCAGTAATACCCAAAGCAATCACAGAAACCTTCAGTCATGCAAGCAGCACACAGGAGATTTGAGGGAGAACAGGGATGTAGCATTGACAGTGAATTATAGGATTCTAAACCCCAAATTCCAGGGGAAACAAGTTAGCATCTGTGGATGGCAAGGGTAAAGCAAGACAGTGACTCAAGAAATATGTTTTGTGAGTGTTGGAGCAGAAGTCCAAGACACTAAGGGGAGGTGGTCAAGTGACTGCTGTAAAAGGAGCTTCCCTTATGACTGAGAAAAAGAGCTAGGAAAATGCACTATCTGGTTATACATCTCAGAGAACACAAAGAGATTGGGGGTGCATTGTATATAAACATGATACACAGGGCAAAGCCCATCAAAGAAACGTATCTAAATAAAGGAAAAGGAGTATATGTTTAGTTTTATTTCAAATAACCTTATAATGAAGAAGTGAATTAATAATTTTTTAAAGAAAAAACTTAAAAATTAAATCTTTATATAGTAAAGGGAACAAATGAGAAGCACTACATTGTTTTTTTCTTTTATAAAAGT